CTGCTGGTTCTGGTACTGCCGCTCGGGGGTACAGGTGCTGTCCCTGCTGTGTCTGGAGTTGCCGCGCGCCCTCAGCCGTACTTCGTTCCGCTCCTTCAGCAGGTTCTTGGTCTCTCGCCTCCTCCTGGTCCTCCTCCCTTAGCGTGTTTACAGCCTGTCCCGTCACAGTTACATTTGCAGCCGGCCTCCCCACTACCTGCTCCTTCTCCTTACACTGGTCCTACTGGCGGTCTTACTGAGCGTCGTGAGTCTGCGTCTCGTCCGGCGTCGCCTGTCCGTCCTGCTAGCGCTAGTGCTCGTAGTTCGCGCCAGCGTCCTCCTCCTGCCCCTGGCACGCACCGGATGTCTCTACGTCCGTCTACTGCTCCTCTGCGTGCCCCTTTGCCTTCTCCTCCTGCGTCCTCTCTTCCTGCTCTCGCCGACCCTGAGTCGGACTCTCTTCGTGCTGCCAGTCCTACTGTCACGCGTCTCCTTGCTACAGTTGTCATTGACCCTTCTTTCGAGTCTACTGCTGCGTCTGCTCTCGTTACTGAGCTCGTCGACTTTGCTGCTCACTGTCGCTTAGACTACGCTGCTAGTCTTGTCGCTGAGTCTGAGTCTGTCTGTCCTCCGTCCGTCGGGGGTGAGTGTGCCCATGGCACGGACGTCCTTGAGGACAGGCAGGAGGAGTTCCAGTGTCTGGCAGCTGCTTCACCTCATCTCGTGTCCGTACTGCTTACCCGTGAGGGAGACGCGGATGCACTTGACATCCCGACTCCGCGCTCTTACGCGGAGGCGATAGAGGGTCCCTACTCCTCTCAGTGGCAGGCAGCTATGGATGCAGAGATGGCTTCCTGGAAGTCCACAGGCACCTACGTTGACGTTGTCCCCCCTCCTGGGGCGAACATCGTCAGTGGCATGTGGATCTTCAGGGTGAAGCGGCCGCCGGGTTCTCCGCCTGTCTTCAAGGCGCGTTACGTGGCGCGTGGCTTCAGTCAGCGACAGGGAGTTGACTACTTTCAGACCTTCTCCCCCACCCCAAAGATGACCACTCTTCGGGTAATGCTGCACGTTGCTGCTCACCGGGACTACGAGCTGCACTCTCTCGACTTCAGCACAGCTTTCCTGCAGGGCAGCCTGCACGAGGAGATCTGGCTGCGCCGCCCACCTGGCTTCACTGGGTCTTTCCCTCCTGGTACCCAGTGGAGTCTCCGGCGTCCAGTCTACGGTCTCCGCCAGGCGCCACGTGAGTGGCACGACACACTGAGGACTACGCTTGCGGCTCTTGGGTTCGCTCCGTCTACTGCCGACCCGTTGCTGTTTCTGCGCACCGACACCTCTCTGCCGCCGTTCTACATCCTCGTGTACGTCGACAACTTGGTCTTTGCCACAGCTGACACTACTGGACTCGCCTACGTGAAGTCCGAGCTGCAGAAGAGACACACGTGCACTGACCTGGGTGAACTGCGCAGCTACCTTGGCTTGCAGATCACCCGGGACAGAGCACGCCGCACCATTACCCTGACTCAGTCACACATGGTGCAGCAGGTCCTTCAGCGCTTCGGCTTCACGTACTCCTCGCCTCAGGCCACTCCTCTGTCTACTCGCCACTCGCTCTCAGCTCTGCCTTCGGATGAGTCCGTAGAGTCGAGTGGCCCGTACCCAGAGCTTGTTGGCTGTCTCATGTACCTGATGACCTGCACACGACCTGACCTTGCATACCCTCTTAGCATTCTTGCACGCTATGTTGCTCCTGGGAGACACCGACCAGAGCACATGGCTGCAGCGAAGAGGGTGTTGCGCTACTTGTACAGTACGTCGGGCATGGGGCTAGTGCTTGGAGGGCGGAGTCCAGTGGTCCTCACTGGACACGCAGACGCTTCTTGGGCTGACGACCAGGCTACGCAGCGGTCGTCACAGGGTTAGACCTTCAGCCTTGGTTCCGGCTCTGTTTCGTGGCGGGCTACTCGCTCGTCTTCTGTTCTTGGCTCCAGTTGTGAGGCTGAGATCTACGCAGGGGCCATGGCTGCTCAGGAGCTTCGCTAGCTCACCTACCTGCTGACCGACCTTGGAGAGCCGCCTCGTTCTCCTCCAGTCCTGTACGTCGACAACTAGGCCATGCTAGCCTTGTGTCGGGAGCAAAGACTGGAGCACAGAACAAAGCACATTGCTCTCCGCTACTTCCTTGCTCGTGAGCTACAGCAGCGTGGTCAATTGCGACTTGCGTACGTGGCCTCTGAGGCCAACACTGCTGATGTCTTCACCAAGGCACTTCCGCCTTGTGATCATCAGCGCTGCTGTACCCAGCTGGGTCTTGTGTCTGTCTTGCCTCACTTGCTCTCCTCTTGACCCTCTTGGTACTGTTACATATATATATCACTGCTCTTGCTTGTTTAGTCTTATATATATATCTGTACTCCTGCATGTGAACTGGCCTTGTGGCCTTGCACTTGTGCTCGGATTGTGTGGTGACGTTGTGATCCACCCTGAGCTTGCTTTGTTTTGCTTTACTTGACTGGTCTTGTGACCCCTAGTTCTCCCCCACTTCGCCTATGGGGGTGTGTCAAACATTATATATGTTGTTGTAGTTGTTTAGGCTACAGTGGGTTAGCCTATAGGGGGTACACATTCCTAGGTTTTGATACTTGTACTCATTTCACTCTTAGTTCATTCATTCTTGTTCAACACTGTTACAAGACTTCGGCAACGGCCTCCAGCCCATCGCCTACGAATCACGAAAACTGCATCCGCCTGAACGAAATTACCCGATACACGACCGCGAAATGCTCGCGATCGTGCATGCATTCAAGGTGTGGCGCTGCTACTTGACCGGCGCAGACGTAACAGTACGGACAGACCATCGATCCCTACAGTACCTCCGTGCACAGCCCCACCTCAACCCACGACAGATTCGGTGGCTCGATTTCCTCGAGTCAAATTTCCATTATACGGTCACCTATAAAAAAGGAGCCTCGAATATCGCCGACGCACTGACCCGCCCCACTGCCCAGATCCATGCGATACTACTCGCCCAGACCAGCCCGCTACTGACAGGACTATTTACCCACGGATATCAAACAGATCCATTCTTCATAGGAGGAAACTCGCAGCAATTCGCAGCAGCCAAGGGAGTCTATTACGTAAAAGTTGGGACCGAACGCATCTGGGTACCAGGGTACACACTGCTACGGGAATTACTGTTACAGGAGGCACACGACGGAGTTACCTCGGGACATTTCAGAGTAGAGAAAACACGGCAGCAGCTGCAGCGGTATTATTACTGGCCCGAAATGTTGACCGACGTGCAACGACACGTGGCATCGTGTCCCACTTGCCAGATCATGAAGTCAACCCGGAAGCGGCCGGCGGGACAGTTGCAACCAATCCCACCTCCAGAGCGTGCTTGGCAGCAAGTGACGATGGACTTCGTTACGGGGTTGCCGGCCGGGGCGAGTGGGAATGACGCAATCCTGGTCGTCGTCGATCGACTGATGAAAATGGCACACTTCGCAGCCTGCAAGAAATCAATCACAGCCAAAGAAACAGACCGCCTCTTCATCTCTACCGTCGTTCGACTGCACGGGATACCAGCATCAATCATCAGCGACAGAGACACGAAGTTTACTAGCAACTTCTGGCGGAACCTGTGGCAGCAGTTCGGCACGCGCCTACAGTTGAGTTCATCGTATCACCCCGAAACCGACGGACAGACCGAACGGACAAATCAGACCATGGAACAGCTCATTAGGGCCACGTGTGATGATCCAAACACAGTGGGAACAGCAACTGCCACTCATCGAATTCGCATACAACAACGCCCCATCTGCCACGACCCAACAGTCACCATTTTACCTGAATTACGGACAAGACCCAACAGTACCCATGATCCCGAATCCCGACAACCCCGTTCCACGCGCACAACAGTTCGCTGAGATTTTGCAAGCAGCACGAACCAGGGCAGCAGAAGCAATAAAAAAATCAAACATCATCGCTAAACGCAACGCTGACCGCCACCGCAGACCTGTCACTTACCAGCCCGACGACCTCGTTTTACTCGACACTCAAAACCTCCGCCTGCCCATCACCCCCAAACTCCGCCCTTGATACTGCGGGCCATTTCGAATTAGCCATATGATAACACCTGTCACCGCGCACCTCCTCCTCCCTGCTGACTGGTACGTCAGCCTCTTGTTCCACGTCAGCCTGCTTCGCCCTTACGTACCATCCACAAGCCAACTCCCACGAAATCGCCCAGCCAGCATGGCTCGTCCGCCAACCGAACCAATCATCACCCCCGAAAAAATCGTGAGCCACAGAGTTCGCGACCCTCGAGGAGCCCGAAAGATCGAGTTCCTGCTCCGCTGGAAAGACCGTACACCCTACCGAGGACAACTGGGTTCCCCTGGACAGAATTGAAAACCACCCTGTTCTCATCGAATATCTGCGCAGTCGAAACTTCAGGGACGTCCACGCTCTTTCGTAAAAAGGACCTCCTTAGGAGGGGGGGTAGTGTAAGGAAAATCCCTTTTCCTTACTTCGCATCCCTGCTCAACGCGTACATCACTGTAGCACCTCAGTCAGCACCGTTACCACTCGCGATCCTCGCATCGACAATCATCCCGCCAACTTCGCACATCGCACCCCGACCTCACGGCTTGGCTGGTAACCCGCACTCCGGGCCTCCGCTTCGACACTTTCCCAACCTCAGTCCCAGGCTCGTCGCATGACAACCACAGTCTATTACCGTTACCACTGTAGTTTCGCTATATATTCTTCGCTCACGTCTTCGCTCATTGTATTCTTGCTTCGATAGTGCAATTCTCGTTCGTTCACTCAATTGCACACGTAACACCCCCCCACTCCCTCCACCAACTCAAGTCCCCCCTCCCTATTCCTCCTTTAGATCCTCCTCTTCAACCTCCTCACTATCCCCCTCTCACCTCCCCATCCCTGCCTTCCTCTTCCTCTTCCTCATCTCATCTCCAGCTCACTTCACCTCCTCTCCCTTTTCCCCGACCCCCCTACCCTTCACTCCTCTCCCCTTCGCTTCCCTCTCCTTCCTCCCCTTCACTCCACTCATCCTCCTCCTCTGTCCCCAATTCCTCCTCATCCTCTTCCTCCACATCCTCTTCCTCCCCATACTCTTCCTCCCCGTCCTCTTCCTCCCCATCCTCTTCCTCCCCGTCCTCTTTCCCCCCATCCTCTTTCTCCCATCCTCTTCCTCCCCATCCTCTTTCTCCCATCCTCTTCCTCCCCATCCTCTTCCCCCCCATCCTCTTCCTCCCAATCCTCTTTCTCCCATCATCCACCCCATCCTCTTCCTCTCCATCCTCTTTCTCCCATCCTCTTCCTCCCCATCCTCGTCCTCCCCATTCCCTTCCTCATCCTCATCCTCCCCATCCCCTGGCACCAGATCATCCGCTCCCACCGAGGCACCCACATCATGCTCTCCCTCGGCCAGGTGGTAAACCACCATCCTCCATTCATCCCCCACCACTGGGCAATCACTCACACTGCATGTCTGCAGCTTCCCCATCTGCTGCAGCCCTCTGGGTAACCGGGCCAGCCGATTGCATCCGTACAGGTCCAAGTTCTCCAAACCGGGCAGCTGCGAAAATTTATTGGGCAGGCTTCGGAGATTGGGCAGGAACGTCAAAAAGAGGTCCACGAGAGAAGAGATCTTCCAGAAGTCATAAGGAAAGCTCGAGATTCCGACAATGGACAAAGCACACCGCTGCAGTCCGCAGAGGCCAGGGAAGGACCCGGGAAGCCTCGTTAGACCCGGGCTGTTGTGAATCTGAAGAGACTGAAGCTTCTTCAGCTGCCCAAATGATTAGGGCAGCTCAGTCAAGCCCATGAGACCGCTCAGATAGAGGGATGTGAGTACTGAGAGCTTCCCTATAGTCTTCGGTAGAGCTAGCAGGCTTTTGGCATGCATGATCGCGAGTGACTGCAAGCGAGAGAGGCGAGAGATGGAGTGTGGCAGCGATTGGAGGTGATCCATGTTGCGGATTTGCAGGCTTGTTAGCGATGGGAAGGAGCCCAGCCATGCACCGAGGTGCTGCAGGGGAAGCTCTGCAAGCTCAAGGACCTCCAGGGATGGCAGCAACACACTCGTACCACTCTCCCCGGACCCCCCACAGCTGCCAGCGGCTCTGCTGCTACCTGTGTGACCAGCTAGCCCCAGACGAGCGATTCTTTCCCCACGCTCTTGCCCAGCGGCTCCCGCGCGTGCGTCCTCCGTGCGTGCACCCCCCTGGTCTTCATCCCCAAACAGCGACTCCAATGCGCTGCACGAACTCACTTGCAGATATTTCAACCACGGCAGCTGATACAGCGAGCGAGGGAGCGACTTCAGGTTGGGTAGTTGTAAGAGCTTGAGTGTAACAAGCTCTCCCAGCCGTCCGATCTCCTCTGGCAGCGCCTTGATTCGCGAGGACCTGACGACCACGAGTCTGGTGAGAGTGTGGGCGAAGGCAGGGAGGGAGGCATTCAGGGAGGAGAGAGAGAGCTCTTTGAGGCTTGTCAAGTGGGACAGCCTGCCTGGTAGCGTGCCTCGTAAGCTGGTTGCTTCACAGATTGCTAGGATTCGCAGGGACACGAGGCTGGAGAAGGATGGAGGGAGGTGGGCGAGAGCTGTGCAGTCGAGTAGATACAGTCTGCGCAGGCTATGCAGGCCATCCCCCATGCCGTGCGGTAGCGATCTCAGCTTGCAGCAGTCATTGATTTGCAGTAGCTCGAGGGAAGATAGCTGACTCAGGGAGTCCGGAAGCTGCGTCAGCAGGCTGCACTCGGCTATTTTCAGCTCTTTGAGGCTCGTCAAGTTACCAAGCGATGCAGGCAGGCTGCTAAGCTGCGGGAGCTTAACTAAGCGCAGGGTTTCCAGGACAGTCAGCTGCCCGAAATCCTCAGGTAGCGATTGAAGAGCTCTGAAGTTTTGCAGCGTGAGTTTCTTGAGTGCAGTGGCAAGGGTTATAGAGTGAGGCAGATGCGCGAGAGTTTTGACGTCTAGCTCGAGCGTGTGTAGGTGTGGGAGGAAACCGACGTCGTCCGGCAGATGGTGCAGGGTTAGGCCGGCGAGAATAAGGTCCGTCAGGGAAGGCAGGCAGGAAAGGGAGGTAGGGAGTGATCTTAAATCGTCGCAGTAGGTAACTGAAAGGAGCCGCAGCCGCTGCAGCTGCCCGAGACTGGCGGGCAGGTCGGTAATCCCCCCCACCTCCAAACGTAGGGTTTCAAGCGCCGACATGTTTCCAAAACTCTCGGGCAGCGGTGAAAGGTCTGAGCATGCTGGAAATTTCGAGCATCAGCAGGGACGAGAGGTTCGAGATAGATTCGGGCAGCTGAAGCCTTGTCCTGGAACCGCTGATGGAAAGATGTGTCAAGTTGGTTAGCTGCCCGAAAGAATCGGGAATGGAGCTGAGCCGCATGCAGTCGTTGAGATGAAGGGACTTGAGCCGCCTCAGATTGCCGAAGCCCTGAGGCAGTTCTTCCAGGCCGTACATTTCAATCCTGAGATGCGTGTTTGAATGCAACGAGGTGAACGCGTCTGGAAGGAGGGCGATTCCCCCCCTGTCGGTGATGTGAAGGCTCTTGAGTGACGCAAGGCCGCCGATGGAAGAGGGAATGGCGGCCAGATTCGACTGACAATCAAGACGAAGTCCCTCCAGCCGTGTGCATTTCTTAAAAAGATACGAAAGACCGTTCTCAGTGAATCGACGTGGAGGTCCGTCAGATCTGAACACGTGTCAGAAATCCCCGAGAGGAGGGAGTCAGGGACGGACGTGATGCTGCCGTTGGCGAGGACGAGCTTCCGGAGCCTTGGGAATGACGAGAGGAGCTCGAGCAGCTCATGAGGACGCATGCGACGCTCTTCGCGAATCTGGATATGGTCGTGCACGCAATGGGTGATTCTAAGCCATTCCTTGCACACAAGCGCGTGCTGGAACTGGCCGTCGGATTGACCGACTAAACGAAAGATAACGGAGAGAAGATCGCCTGACAGCCGTCCTATCGGTGATGCAGCATCCATTCTATCCTATAGATTAGTTGCAATGGGGCTAAGGTAAATGCTCGAAGACCAATCATGTCGCAGTGAGAGTCCGCAAACGAGTTCACAAATAGCATCGAATTCTCAGCTGCCGTGATAATCCCTAGTCAAAAAAAGTCTCTGAGAAAGTCGCTGTGCGAGTTCTTGTGCAATACCGTCTCTGTAAGAAAGCGGCTCTGGGGATTCTTTATACGCCAAGTCTGTATCTGGGGGAATCGCTTGGCAAGAAAGGCTCTGGGTGAGTCAACGTGGGAGTTCCAGGGCAAGCAAGTCTCCGAGAGTCGCTCTGGCAGATGGGCAATCCCTAGGCTGGATCCCAAGCACCGCTGTACTGTACAGCATGTTGCGTGAGGTGAAACCCCCGCCTCTGCCGCAAGATCCGCTGCAGCGGATGACGGTGGGTTTTGGGTTTGGGTGATGTTACATTTCGGGCTCCGGTAGATTTCACAGCGAAGATATCCTCTTCTGTTCTTTTCTTCCTTATCAGCGCTACTAAAACTTTCAATTTTTTGTAAGAAAGAAGACTTCGTATAATGTTTTTCCCTCTCGGGGGAAATTACTACAACCCTACCAAAGAAACATTCCTGCATAGTTGAACTCCACAATGGCTTCCAAACCTAATGAGTAATTGACATTGGGTTGGGTGGGAGGGGCGTAAGGGAGCGGAATCCGACTAGTGCTTCTCCGTTTTTCCAGCTTTGTGAGTCCCAGCACATCCAACAGACTGCTAAGGAATGTGTTTCCTAGGAGGAGTGGGAGGCGACCCAGTGGTAGAGCAGGCTGGCACCGAAGCCAGTGCCTCCGCCCTTCTTCTCACTCCACACCGGCCCTGCAATGTCCAGATGCGCCCATGGCAGCCCCTCCACCACAAACTGGCGCCGCAGAAGGCAGCATGGATTGGTGGTGAGGAATTGCGAGAAGGAACAGGCCGGGGACGAGGACGGAAGAGAAAATATGCTGTTTGTTGCAATTGAAACAGATCTTGATGTTTCTAGGCGATCTCGAAAGGAATGGGGAAGACGATGCTAGAGGAACACAGATTACAAGAAAGCAATTCTGGTTAGTAGAGCATGAAAGAGTGGCAGAATACAAGCACGAATTCTCTCCCTCTCACCTGCTGCCCCTGAAATCATGTGTGATAGAAAAAAAAAGGTACAAGGTCCTTCTCTCCTGTTCAACTTTCCACCCACCTGATGTTATAACTGAAGGATCGCAGTGGATAGGATAAAGTTGCTAAGTCTTTGAAAGAACTGTGAAGTCTCTGTAATGACCTTGTTGATGAACTTTGAAAGAACAAGATGATTATAAGATAGGAGTACAGGAATATAAATAGCAATCCTAGCTAGCCATGTGTCAAATGTTATATCTGCTACAGTTGGTTTAGGCTGTAGTGGGGTAGTTCCTATGGGGTACAGTAAGTTTAGGTTTTACCATTTGTACCCAACTCTTTCCTAGTTCATTCACTTCTCTCATTTTGACATGGTATTACGAGCCTAGGTTAGAAACCTAGGACCACTAGTTCATAAGGGCTCACCGTTCCGCTAGAAGCGCCCTCGTGCGCCCTCCCTTACTCGCGCCCTCGTGCGCCTCGTTCCTAGTGCGCCCTCGCGCGCCCTCCTTCTCACGCTAGCCGCCCGCGCGCGGCTCGTTTTTTCTAGCGCGTAGCCTGCTAGCCGCCCGCGCGCGGCCCTTTTTCCTCGTGCGCGCGACCCACTAGCCCCCCGCGCAGTTGAAGCCGCCCGCGCGCAGTCCGCCCTGGCCTCGCGCGGCTCCTAGCACAGCCCGCGAACTGCCCGTCGACCGGCGCGCGCCGCCGCCTCGCGCTCGTAGGCCGCCGACCGTACGTAGGCCGCCGCCCGCACGTAGGCCGCCGCCCTCACGACGGCTGCCGCCCGCACGTAGGCCGCCGCCACGCACAGCGACAGACCGCGCGCCGGCCCACCCTCCCTACTCGAGCCGCGCCGCGCCGTCCTGCCCGAGCCGCATCGCCCTGACCGAGCCGCGCCGCCCTACTGTGCACCACCTGCAGCACCTGCTGCTCCTGTTCTTGCTACCGCTACTACTGCTACTGCTGCTACTATTCCTACTACTGCTACTGCCACTATGGCCAGTCCTACCGTTCTCACTTTTTACGCCGAGGGCCGTCCAATTAAGTTTGACGTTTGACTCGATGACCTGCACCTGTTCCTCCAGATCACTGCCAATGACGATGTTTCCCTGTTTGACCACACGTCCGGCGCCGCTCCCGCACCTGCTGCTACTGCTGACAGTACGGCTCGCTTACAGTGGCAGACCCGTGACGCTCATGCTCGCCTAGCCGTTCGCAGCCACCTGCCGTTAGATGAGCGCGAGCATTTTGGCCAGCTTAAGACCGCTAAGGAGTTGTACGATGCTGTAGTTGCACGCTACTTCTCCCCTGCCACTGCTGCGATAGGTCGTCTCTCGCTGCCCTATCTCTTCCCCGATCAGTCTGCCTTTGCCACTGTAGCTGACCTCATCACTCACCTCTGTACTGCCGCGCTTCCCCCCTATGTCCTCGCCAAGAACCCTCCCCCGATGTACCTCTCACTCTACCACCTAGTCACTCGCCTCCCTGACTCTCTTCGCGCTGTCAGGGACCACTTTCTCGCCCTCTCCCCCACCGACCTCACTGTCGACCTGCTCGAGAAGGAACTCCTTGCAGCTGAGACTAGTATTGTAGGTGTAGGTGCCTCTCGTGGCGACCCTCGCACTCCCTTCTGTGAGGGATGTTCCCCCTCCCCCCTTCTCCCCGCCATTGCATCTGCTGCTGCTGTCAACTACCTCGGTGTTGAGGGGGTCGGGGCTGCGTCTGCTCCTAGTGGAAGGCGCAGGGGTGGCAGGGGCAAGGGGGGCAAGGGTGGCGGAGGTGGCGGCGGGGGCGGCGGTGGTGGAGGGGGTGGAGGGGGCGGGGGTGGTGGCGGTGGTGGGAGTGGTGCTGGGGGTGGGGGGGTCAGTGGCGGAGCCGGGGGTGGTGGCGGCGGCGGTGGGGGTGGCGGGGGTGGTGGTGGCAGTGGTGGCGGTAGTGGAGCTGGTGGCGGGCGCGGTGGAGCGATGCAGCGTGGGGGGTTCGGCGGTGGCCACAGGCAGCAGCAGCAGCGTCCCAGCGAGACCCCGTCGCCCCAGCAGCTCCGTGAGTGGTACTCTCAGCGTGGGGGGTCTGGGGGTGGAGGTACCTGCCCGTACGTCATCCGCAGAGGTGACCGCACTGGCCAGACCTGTGGGAGGTTTCACACGGCGCAGCGCTGCTTCTTTCGTCTCGATGACGCCTGGCGCGAGCAGTTCCCTGACGCCTTTGAGCTGCCCCGCTGGGCTGATCTGCTTAAAAAGAACATTGATATCTTTGCTCTTGATTTTGATGCTATCCTTGGTGCTATGTATGCATTGACTATTAGTGTTGAGGGTGACTGTTACCTGCGTGTACCGCCCGACCCGGGTATTGGGACCAGTGAGGCTGCCGCTCTAGGTGCTAGTGCGTCTGCTGCCCTAGGTCCTGGTGAGGCTGCTACTCTAGGTGCTAGTGAGTCTGCTGCTCGAGGTGCTCGTGCGTCTGCGTCTGCTGGTACTGTCAGAATGTTATCTTATGCTCTAGCCTGTAGTGGGGTGCTCTATAGCGAGTACAACCCTTCTAGGGTTTGCTATTTGTATCCCCATTCTTGCTAGTGCAACCCTCTTCTCTTTTCTAAATTCTAACATGGTATCAGAGCAGGTCGATCCCATTGGATCGATCCTGTGGGTGGGTTACCACCTCCTCGCTTCCGCTGCAACTTTTTCTTCCCGCCGTGCGCCCCGAGGCGCGCGGCGGTTTTCTGCCCGTCGTGCGCCCCGAGGCGCGCGGCGGTTTTCTGCCCGTCGTGCGCCCCGAGGCGCGCGGCGGTTCTCTGCCCGCTGTGCGCCCCGAGGCGCGCGGCGGGCTTCTGCCCCGTCGTTCACCGCGTCGCCCTCTGGTGGCGCCGCGACGGGCGACGGGGACCCGTCGCGGCCCCGCCGACCCACTTCGCGGCCCCGCTGCCCCATTTCGCGGCCCTGCCACCCTACGTTCGCGGCCCCGCCGCCCCACTTCGGGGCCCCGCCGCCCTTCTGTCGCGGCCCCGCCGGCCCAACTTCGCGGCCCGGCCGCCCTACACCTGCGGCCCCGCCGCCCTACTTGCGCCCCGGCCCCTTTTCCCACCCTGGGGGAG